TAAGTATCGGGTGGAAGGGGCCGTACCCCTTTGTGTTATTGTTACGTTATAGTTAAACGTGCTGCCTCCAGTAGAGAGAAGTCTCCGTTTTAGACCCACTACATTTGGTGCGAGAAGTGCACAGAGGTAAAACCCACGAGGTAAAAAAAAAAAATTTCGATGGAGACCTGGTTTCCAGGAATGACCAGGCCAAGATGTCAAGAATGAGAGGGGAGGGAAGAGAATGAGAGCGAAAGAGAGAGCAGAAGCGAGTTGCACGGAGCAGCGTCTGTGTTTACAGCGGGCGGCAGGGAGAGGGGAGGGATTCAGGGTGGGTGGTGGCCACATGGAAGCCACGTGATTGACGGGAGGCCTGAGCTTATCAGACAGATATGATGATCGTAAGTTGGCTTTGCAACTCTAAACTCGGGAGCGCACTTACATATTTTCGGAGTCCTCATCCTCCTCGTCTTCAAACGTCACCTTTTTCCCCTTCACCACCTTTCGATCTATCCCTTTGGCACCGTCTGCGGTGAAATAATCCTTGTACTTTAAGTCTCTGCTGCTTTTCTTGGCCTGCAGTTGAGCACACAAAAATTACGAAAACGTTAGAAAAAATTGTCGACAAATATTTCACAAGCAGCCACTGCACACGGTTAGTCAAAGTATTTTTTAGTTATAAAATTTGTTTTTTTAAATGCACCTTTACATACAATTCTCATTCTTGTAGCGCATGGCAGGTTTGTGTCATTTACACATTCATGTGAGCCACGTGATGACAGCCTCAGGAGCAGCGCGGCTCACACTGTCTGGTCTGCCGGAGAGTGGGCCTCATAAAACAATGCAGTTATTTTATATTCTTGGTTCTTTCGGTAAAGTCACGTAGAAGGGAAACAATAAAAGAATAAAAATATAAAACTATAAAATTCTCACGACGTTTCAACTGCAACACTTTACCGAAAAAAACAAGAATATGAATCCCTGCAGTCACGAAAGCTTTAAATAAAAAAGCAGTTATTCAACACTGCCTGGTATACAGGAGGTCGCGAGTTCGATCCCGATGCTTGCTGTATATTTGTAATTTGCGTGTCTCTCCCCGTGGTGGTCGCATAGATTTTTTTCCGGGTCCTCCAGTTTTTCCCTCCACATTTAGAAACATGTGTTCAAGAATATTTGGCCGCTATACATTTCCACTTATTAATTTCGTCATGGTCTTCCCATGCTGCCTTGATTAATGGGAGTTGTAAACGGGATTTTATTTTTCCATACTTGACACGCTGGTCAGTGCAGGTTGGTTAAGGGGGTGAGCACTGGGCCCAGTTCAGATATCACCAGCCACTGATGGTAGCTGTGACACAGGAATCGAACTCGGGACGCCAGACTGAAAGTGCAGTGCGCAAAGCGCCGTCCCGCAACGCAAACTCAGAAAACTCATGAAAGAGAAAAAAACCCCACAGCGTTCCTCAGCAAAAGACTACGTGCAAAAACAGCAAACCACTGACTTTCAACGACTGTACTGGGGTAAAGAAGTTCAAGATGTAATTTACCTTTTTAGTTTTTGTTTTGCTTTTTTCATCATCGCTGTCATCATCATCATCGTCGTCATCGGACAGCTGATCGACGAAGAGGTCAACTTCTTCTTCATCATCATCATCAGAGTCGTTCCGTGCCTTCCCCTCGCCGCGTAGCCTCCGTCTCTCGTCACGCTTTTCCTCCGCTTCTAGAAACGCTTCCATCTGGTCGATCTTCAAGAAATCGTCTTCAACGTCCAAATCTCCAGACACCTTCCCAGCGTCCTTCGCGTCTTTCCGCTTACTCTTCGCCTCCAGTTCATCGATGTCAAAGTCCACGTCGGAGTCGGTGGCATCGTCTTGATCATCCTCATCGCGGGACCTCTTATCGGGTTTTTGATTCTGCGTCTTACCCCGCGCACGCTTCTTACTCCTTTCTGGGGTCAGCTCCGTGGAGGATTCACTGTCCGTGTCGCCACCAGCTCCGGATGTTCGTTTCTTTTTGGCCCCGCTGCTTGCCAGTTTGTCATCCAAGTCGCTGCCAACGCCGTCGTCGTCGTCAATATCACTGTCATCGTCGTCATCATCACGGTCCGGATCATCTCCTTCAGACTCGGTCCCTGCGAGTGAGTGTCAACGTTCGCGTTCAACGTTAGCAACATAATTACAAACACGGCCGTTAACAGCGAATGGCTTTCACAGCCTTTCTGTGAATGCATTAAGTAAACGCACCTTCGTCATCTTGGGGAAAAAGGACGATGTCCTTGTTGCTCAGGACCTGCGTCACTTGGTGTCTCAGCTGAGCGAGCGCCGCCTCGTTCTGCAGCTCCAGCTCCTGCCAGATCTGCTCGTCGTCAAAGTTGTCGATGACGAGTTCGGCGAGGGGACTCCCGGCCCAGCCGGGGAGTTCGTGCCCCTTGTGAAGATCGTAGAGCTCCTTGGTGACAGAGCGTAGCTCGTCCGCCAGCCCATCCTGCACTCTGCCCGTCCACACCCAGCATCGTAAACAACACAACCGCGGAGCAGCCACTCACTCAGTGGCGCCGATGTCAACCACGACGCTTGTGCCGACCTCGGTGCGGCGAGGTCACCTCAAGTGTCGAAGGTTCGCTACTGGCGGGTCACGGGACAAACCCAGACGTTATGGGTTGACTGACAAAGATGACTGGCAGTCAGCCTTGAGCAGGCTGTTGGGGCGAGGCATGTGCTGTTATAGCGAGCACCTATGAAGGCCCGTACGGCGCACAAAGGCCGTGGTGTGGCGAGAACCGCGCCCGACCGGTTTTTGTCTTCCCGGTGCTGATGGGTTTTTCTATTAAACACCACCCCAGGTGCCTAGGACTTAGTCGACCTATAGGAGGCCCAGAACCTGGTCTTAATACCTCTCGCCAATTATATTAGCCGTGGCCAGGAATCGAACTTGGATGCCGCGTTCGTGGCGCAATGTGTAAGAACAATTTCTCTCCACGCCACAAAGACAAGAACACAAATATCCCCCGTATAGCCTACATCGACTGTTGGGGCAAGTGCTCTGACCGAACACATTTAAGCCAAGGCCTTCACATGCGAGTTGGTGCGAGCCTTCACAAAGCGGAGTGGTGCGACCAAAAGGCCCGGCCATCTTTGTCTCCCCAACGCTCACGTCCACATACACCGGCAACCGGTTACTCATCATTTAAGGCCAAGTCGATCTAAGCGCGAACCAGGGAACCGTGTCTAAGCGAGGCCCCGCGAACGCACGAGTCAACAACCCCAGCGCGCTCAGCGCTCTCGGACACGAACGAACCGACGAAGGACCGAGCGAGCGGAATGCAGCCAAGGAAGGCAGGAAGGGTGGATGAGATGTGGGGTTGCGGGTACCCCAGGAAGAGCTCTGGCGAGGCGGCACAGCGACTCAGCACGAGCCGGGCCCTGCGGAGACCCGCGCTCACGCGCGCTTCCATGACACCCACGTGGAGTCGCGGGGAACACGTGTGGGGTGGTGGGGGGTGGGGCAGTACGGGGCCGCGCTGAGGACAAAACGTGAACTGCGAGTCGGAGGTGAAGGGGAAACGCGATTTAATAATGCGTCGACTTGATGTGAAGACCATTCAGTGCTCTTTGATTCTATTCGGTAAAGTCACGTAGGTGAAAAAATAAAACAACAAAAATCACGACGTTTCGGCCACATTACAAGTGGCCTTCATCAGGTGAAGGGACCAAACTGATCCCTTCACCTGATGAAGGCCACTTGTGTTGTGGCCGAAACGTCGTGATTTTTGTTTTATTTTTTTACCTACGTGACTTTACCGAATAGAACCGAAGAGTATGGATCCTTGCAGTCACGACAGCTTTAAATCTATGACCATTCAGCGGTTGGTGACAGCGTGATGCTGTGTGTGGGCGAGCAGTGGTGGACAGGCACAATTAACAACAGCTCAATACACTGCCTTGACTTAAAAACAAATAGCACGTGCCCTGAAGAAGGGGCATTGCCCGATACGTTGACGATGACAGTATATACTGTATATATTTCAAGGCAGTGCTGTCGACGAGTATATTGTGTTTGATGCTAAGAGGCCACGAGATGGCTAAAGTGTCCTCTGACTCGACAAGCTGGGTTCAAATCCAGGTTTCTGCCTCCAGTGATTCCGCTTGAACAAATCTTGTGTTCAAAATATACGTTGTTTTGTTGAGGTTAGATCGCGTGAAAATATAAATGTGTCGTTAAACCCACCACCACCCGACAGCCAATTCGTAAGGTTTGTTACATAAACAGAATATGCCAATTGGAACAGAACATGCTTATCATGTGGACATTTATTGCTGCCAAATTCTCGAAACGCACGTGAAAAAATGTGGAGGGAAAATCGGAGGACCCAGAAAAAAATCCACAGGACCACGGAGAGCCACAGGCAAACTCCGAATACCAGAGCGTCAGGGTCGGGATCGAGCCCACGACCTCCTGTATACCAGGCGAGAGAGACAACATCTCGCCAGCTCGTACAACGACAGTCTACTGGATACAATGTCTTCATGTTTCTTGTCTGTCACCCGTCTCTTTGACTTAATGCGAATCCAGCCCTCAGTGCACCAAGTGTAGACATCCCTGTTCTGTCGAGCCATCAAAAACAAACCCCCCAAAAACCCCCACGCCTGGTAACACTGTGGCCTGAATAAGACACAAAATGCAACGTTTCGTGCAACGCCTCCTTTTCACAGCACACGGAGAGGCAGTGAAGGCCTATTGCCCGAAAGCATTGCCGGAAACATTTTTATTGCAAGACCACCACCACTACCACTGTGTTAGTATACTGACGAGTGTGCTGAGTAATTGTTGTTGCTGTGCTTGCTGTGTACCACTGACAACGCAGCAGCAACATCGCCAAATAACACGCAAGGAGAGTTGAATTAGTTGGTATTAAAACATAACTTGCATTGTCTGCTGTAGTGAACGGGGAAAATACAAATTAACATTTTACCGGATACAATTATATTGCAATAGACAAATGTAATAAGTGCCACCCAACATCAAATGAGCCATCAGTTTATTTACCAACACATCTTGTGTATGCGTCCTGTATACAACAAAAAATATGGCAATGAAACATCACCCCGTTGTCTTATAATTAAATGATACTTTAATTCAATTATACTTTGAAAAAGAATTGGTTAATGAATCAATAACAACTCACTTGTGTTAGTGTATACCTGTAATCCATTGCATTGCTATGGCCAAATGCAATGCATAGTCCATTATAAACACCACTTTTACACACAGAAGTATGGAATTACTACCAATTCAACAAATCACCCTATATTTCAGTTTGTGGAATACCATATATTCTAAATCATTTGGTCTTCTTCACAAATTGTATGAATATGCACAATTGCACTACAATGTACTAGAACATTCCCCAATCACAGCAGTTGTAATATAATACTGTGCCGTCCGCCTCGCGTTCAAATTTCCCAAGTTCAAAAATGACACCACAAATGACTCAATCGGGATTATACGTAACAATCATCACCCCCTACTGCTAGACATGCCCCAGGTCACTCTTGCACATGAGACTATTTTGGTCTCTTTAAAGTTCTCACTCGATTAGGCAAAATCAACTTGAACTTGTAGCAGAAAAGGCAAACATTCGTCCAAACTTTGTCCCATAAAAAAAGATCTCGTCTACAAAAGTCACGTTTTCAGTGTTCTGGTTTTAACAGGACATTAAATCCACGACCGCGTCTCTATAACTCAAAACACTGCCACACGTTTCTTAAAAAGGTTTGCTCAAAAAATATACCAACCCGACACCCGCTATACGCACATCATGATCATCGTGGTCATCTCGTTTAAAACAATCATTCAAAAGAGCTCCGCGCACTTCATTTGAATACCATCCTAGTGCTGGCACCGATCCATCTGCCATGCGTACCCTCACGGCCATGACAAAAAGTTTGTATCACAACTGAAATGTTGCAACAAGTACATAGGCACTGTGGTCCCGTAATGCAAAACATTCCGGCTGTGCTTTGGGACTTGAACCCAGAGTGTTTTTCTTTACTTACCAAGCGGCAATTCAACCCGTGGCCTCTTTCAACCCCTTTTCCACCGGTACATCCGAGCCGAATCATGCCAACGCAGGGGTCCTAACGGTCCAGTTGGCTTTCCTCTTATTTGCCGGAACTAAACCACGATACGCTGGCCTCGCAAGACATCTGGATCCGGCTCCTAGCCACGTACGGTCAGGGGTGGAACTACTGACTCGTTCGTCGCGTGTGACCTCCGTCTGTTCAACTCGGTGTCACCGTGTCACCGACACGCGCCTCGACTCGTTTGTTGTGCGCAACGTCAGCGAAGACAGAAATCAAATGTGCGCCGTGACGTCACTTGCCAAGTTTAAATTTCAGGCGGCGGTGTTTGTGTTAAAAATCCACCTGTAAATGAGATTAGCACGGTTGACAACGTACGGTGTGAAATAAGTTCAACATACATACAAATACCGGGTAAAAACGGCAAGATACTTAATTGTAAATAGCCGAACATAACCTGCGCCTGTGATCAAAATCACTCGGAATGCGGCTGATCTAGTCAGATTGCAGAGCCAAGTAGGGGCGAGCCTGGATAGTGCTCGGGTGGGCAGATCGCATGTCACCATGGGGCTCCTGACCTTGAGCTCAGCCTCATGGGCCCAAGCCTGACAGGGTTAGGGAACAAAGTAAGAGCCACCTTCCCACTCGCCTATGGAGAGAGATGCTTTGGAGTTGTGCTGTTCTATTCTGCCTTTAGATACCCAATTATGTTTTAGTGTCATGTCACAGGAAGAAGACATTTCCATTCGGACGGTTTTCAGCGAGCAGTGCACCAGACAGTGTCAGAGAACAGTCCCAGAAGATGATGTACAAAATTTACTTCTGAAAGCACTTCGAGTCTCATTAATCATGACAAGCGCACCTTTTATATGACCTGCAAAAAGTGTTCCTGGCATGACAAGTAAACCAATACTTTACATTTTCAGGGTTGGAATAAGACAATTTAAGTGAAAAACTATTCAACACGTCATATTTTTAGAAAGCCAATGATAATCGGGATGAAAACATCAATTATCTACACTTGATAACTTAAGTTAATCCCATGGTGGGAGACTCCTGGATTCATACTCAGGATAGCTCAGAAATGTCGGCGCAGACTCTACCACAGAATTAGCATAATTTCTCTGGATTTGAATGTTACTTCAAAACAGCTATCATAAAAGTCAAAGTGCGTTTGTGCTCAAACAAGATATTTTCAGAGTGGTTATCTTTGAACAGCCACTATTGACTTCCCACATAGCATTTTCATGTACAGCCAAGAAAGAAGCCTTATCAATCACGCATCTCATTCCGACCAGTCCAATGCCCTTTTGCAGTATGGGCCCCCCTGTGCGGCACAAGGTGTGCATGGCACCAGCCTACAAATGGGCATTAGCCTGATAATTACACACATCCACACACACGAACGCATGAATGTGCAGGTGCATTGTGGTACAAAGCGCTCCAAAAAAGAATTTCCCGGTACGGGTTCCCTCGACGGAGACGCCGCAGTAGCAGCAGCGCCACTGCTAGTCGACCCTGTCGTCCTGCGGGTCGCCATACAGCAAGGGCACCCGCTCCCACTGCTGCTTGCCTGGACATAGACACACACGCGCAACACAAACGCACAACACAGATGCATACGTGCAACACGGATGCACGCACGCAACACACGCAACACAGACGCGCACGAGCAACACAGACCGAACTTGAATGAAATGCTGGCGCAGGGCAGATGGCGCCCACGCCTGTGAGTGAAGCTCCACTGCTCGATCCAGAGATGAAGGTTCGTGAGCACACAAAGACACACGAAGCTGCCACCCCCCCCTCACTATAGCCTTACAGACTGGTGGGGATGCTCTTAGCGAGTAGCACATATTAAGGCTGGCACGGTACACAAGGGGGTAGGTGGCCAGAACCACGACCAACCACCTTTGTCTCCCCAGTGACGATATTTACACACTGCTCAAGGTACTCATTTAAGGCCTAGTCCATCTAGGGGAGGCCCAGGACCTGTTGAGATATTCGTCACCAATGCTGGCTGTGACCAGGAATCAAACTCGCATCGTGGCTTTATAGCAGAGCGTGCTAACCACTGCTCACCATACAGATACAAAGATCAAGATCCCCTGTGTAGCCCAACAGAAACACACACAGACGCATACAGACACCTAAAATAACACATGCTCATGTGCACACACAAGCTAATAACACACATACACATCAAATAACCTACACATATACAAACTCGTTTACTTTGAACACTGTTGTTCACATGTTTGCTAGTAATTCTAATATCAGCTAGTCAACCTTATTTGTACACTTTTACACATTCAGTATATTAATAATCATGCCCAACCCTGTGTCAATCCACAGCTGGATGAATGCCTCTCAATGCCATTAAATTGTGGAGGCTGTACGTGTTGTGTCCGTGTGTTTGTGTGTGAGTGTCTATGTGTACACGTGCACATTCTCGTGCGTCTACGTCATCCAACGGGCTTGACAAAGGGCTGTACGTTCACATGAATAACAATAATACTTGAGTACATTTGCAATTCACACCAATCTTGCAGCGCAAGGCTGTTAAGAATGTGCTATGTTTCACTGATTTAGTCTTCGGTAATTTCACAGTAGGGGGCGATGGATGTTGCCGTGTGTAATCCCAATTGAGTGTAATCTGCGGTGTAATTTTTCAAATTTGGACCGTGACACTTGACACGCAACGGCCTACTCGTTACGAATGACGTCACTGGATCTTTAACGTCCGCCATGAAACAGATGGCGCGTAGTATTTTACGGTTACTATACGTGCAGTGATATTAATTTACGCGATGGGAATTATACATGGCAACCATTGCTTCCTACTGCGAAAACTTGGCAGGACTCTCCTGAGGGTTTTCTGGGTAAAGAGGGACACTAATATTGATTTATAGTTTCAGCAACCCATCATTATTTAGCACATCCGTAAATTGTCCCACTCAGCACAAGGCTATCATGTTTGCACCATGTGTCAGTTTTCAGTAGTTTCCCAGTAGGGGGTGATGTTGCTTGCAACGTGTAATCCCAATAGAGTCATTTGCCGGTTTTTTTTTTTTTTGGAGTCCGTATATGTGTGTGTAGGGCGTTGTGTGTGTGAGTCTATGTATGTCTGTGTGTGAGTGTGTGTACGTCGATATGTGTGTGTAACTCCATGTGTGTGTATCTAAAGTCGATGTCTGTGTGTGTGAGTCCATATGTGCGTGTGTGTGTGTGTAAGTCGATGTGTTTGTGTGTGTGGGTCAATGTCTGTAAGTGTCTGTAAGTGTGTGTAAGTCGATGCGTTTGTGTGTGTGGGTCAATGTCTGTAAGTGTCTGTAAGTGTGTGTAAGTCGATGTGTTTGTGTGTGTGGGTCAATGTCTGTAAGTGTCTGTAAGTGTGTGTAAGTCGATGCGTTTGTGTGTGTGGGTCAATGTCTGTAAGTGTCTGTAAGTGTGTGTAAGTCGATGTGTTTGTGTGTGTGGGTCAATGTCTGTAAGTGTCTGTAAGTGTGTGTAAGTCGATGCGTTTGTGTGTGTGGGTCAATGTCTGTAAGTGTCTGTAAGTGTGTGTAAGTCGATGTGTTTGTGTGTGTGGGTCAATGTCTGTAAGTGTCTGTAAGTGTGTGTAAGTCGATGCGTTTGTGTGTGTGGGTCAATGTCTGTAAGTGTGTGTAAGTCGATGTGTTTGTGTGTGTGGGTCAATGTCTGTAAGTGTCTGTAAGTGTGTGTAAGTCGATGCGTGTGTGTGTGTGGGTCAATGTCTGTAAGTGTGTGTAAGTCGATGTGTTTGTGTGTGTGGGTCAATGTCTGTAAGTGTCTGTAAGTGTGTAAGTCGATGCGTGTGTGTGTGTGGGTCAATGTCTGTAAGTGTGTGTAAGTGTGTAAGTCGATGCGTTTGTGTGTGTGGGTCAATGTCTGTAAGTGTCTGTAAGTGTGTAAGTCGATGCGTGTGTGTGTGTGGGTCAATGTCTGTAAGTGTCTGTAAGTGTGTGTAAGTCGATGTGTTTGTGTGTGTGGGTCAATGTCTGTAAGTGTCTGTAAGTGTGTAAGTCGATGTGTGTGTGTGTGTGGGTCAATGTCTGTAAGTGTGTAAGTCGATGCGTGTGTGTGTGTGGGTCAATGTCTGTAAGTGTCTGTAAGTGTGTAAGTCGATGTGTTTGTGTGTGTGGGTCAATGTCTGTAAGTGTCTGTAAGTGTGTGTAAGTCGATGCGTTTGTGTGTGTGGGTCAATGTCTGTAAGTGTCTGTAAGTGTGTGTAAGTCGATGCGTTTGTGTGTGTGGGTCAATGTCTGTAAGTGTCTGTAAGTGTGTAAGTCGATGCGTTTGTGTGTGTGGGTCAATGTCTGTAAGTGTCTGTAAGTGTGTAAGTCGATGCGTGTGTGTGTGTGGGTCAATGTCTGTAAGTGTCTGTAAGTGTGTAAGTCGATGCGTTTGTGTGTGTGGGTCAATGTCTGTAAGTGTCTGTAAGTGTGTGTAAGTCGATGCGTTTGTGTGTGTGGGTCAATGTCTGTAAGTGTGTGTAAGTGTGTGTAAGTCGATGCGTTTGTGTGTGTGGGTCAATGTCTGTAAGTGTCTGTAAGTGTGTGTAAGTCGATGCGTGTGTGTGTGTGGGTCAATGTCTGTAAGTGTGTGTAAGTCGATGCGTTTGTGTGTGTGGGTCAATGTCTGTAAGTGTCTGTAAGTGTGTGTAAGTCGATGCGTGTGTGTGTGGGTCAATGTCTGTAAGTGTGTGTAAGTCGATGTGTGTGTGTGGGTCAATGTCTGTAAGTGTGTGTAAGTCGATGTGTTTGTGTGTGTGGGTCAATGTCTGTAAGTGTGTGTAAGTCGATGCGTTTGTGTGTGTGGGTCAATGTCTGTAAGTGTGTGTAAGTCGATGTGTTTGTGTGTGTGGGTCAATGTCTGTAAGTGTCTGTAAGTGTGTGTAAGTCGATGCGTGTGTGTGTGTGGGTCAATGTCTGTAAGTGTGTGTAAGTCGATGTGTTTGTGTGTGTGGGTCAATGTCTGTAAGTGTCTGTAAGTGTGTAAGTCGATGCGTGTGTGTGTGTGGGTCAATGTCTGTAAGTGTGTGTAAGTGTGTAAGTCGATGCGTTTGTGTGTGTGGGTCAATGTCTGTAAGTGTCTGTAAGTGTGTAAGTCGATGCGTGTGTGTGTGTGGGTCAATGTCTGTAAGTGTCTGTAAGTGTGTGTAAGTCGATGTGTTTGTGTGTGTGGGTCAATGTCTGTAAGTGTCTGTAAGTGTGTAAGTCGATGTGTGTGTGTGTGTGGGTCAATGTCTGTAAGTGTGTAAGTCGATGCGTGTGTGTGTGTGGGTCAATGTCTGTAAGTGTCTGTAAGTGTGTAAGTCGATGTGTTTGTGTGTGTGGGTCAATGTCTGTAAGTGTCTGTAAGTGTGTGTAAGTCGATGCGTTTGTGTGTGTGGGTCAATGTCTGTAAGTGTCTGTAAGTGTGTGTAAGTCGATGCGTTTGTGTGTGTGGGTCAATGTCTGTAAGTGTCTGTAAGTGTGTAAGTCGATGCGTTTGTGTGTGTGGGTCAATGTCTGTAAGTGTCTGTAAGTGTGTAAGTCGATGCGTGTGTGTGTGTGGGTCAATGTCTGTAAGTGTCTGTAAGTGTGTAAGTCGATGCGTTTGTGTGTGTGGGTCAATGTCTGTAAGTGTCTGTAAGTGTGTGTAAGTCGATGCGTTTGTGTGTGTGGGTCAATGTCTGTAAGTGTGTGTAAGTGTGTGTAAGTCGATGCGTTTGTGTGTGTGGGTCAATGTCTGTAAGTGTCTGTAAGTGTGTGTAAGTCGATGCGTGTGTGTGTGTGGGTCAATGTCTGTAAGTGTGTGTAAGTCGATGCGTTTGTGTGTGTGGGTCAATGTCTGTAAGTGTCTGTAAGTGTGTGTAAGTCGATGCGTGTGTGTGTGGGTCAATGTCTGTAAGTGTGTGTAAGTCGATGTGTGTGTGTGGGTCAATGTCTGTAAGTGTGTGTAAGTCGATGTGTTTGTGTGTGTGGGTCAATGTCTGTAAGTGTGTGTAAGTCGATGCGTGTGTGTGTGTGGGTCAATGTCTGTAAGTGTCTGTAAGTGTGTGTAAGTCGATGTGTGTGTGTGTGTGGGTCAATGTCTGTAAGTGTCTGTAAGTGTGTGTAAGTCGATGTGTTTGTGTGTGTGGGTCAATGTCTGTAAGTGTGTGTAAGTCGATGCGTGTGTGTGTGTGGGTCAATGTCTGTAAGTGTGTGTAAGTCGATGCGTGTGTGTGTGGGTCAATGTCTGTAAGTGTCTGTAAGTGTGTAAGTCGATGTGTTTGTGTGTGTGGGTCAATGTCTGTAAGTGTGTGTAAGTCGATGTGTTTGTGTGTGTGGGTCAATGTCTGTAAGTGTGTGTAAGTCGATGTGTTTGTGTGTGGGTCAATGTCTGTAAGTGTCTGTAAGTGTGTAAGTCGATGTGTGTGTGTGTGTGGGTCAATGTCTGTAAGTGTGTGTAAGTGTGTGTAAGTGTGTGTAAGTGTGTGTAAGTGTGTGTAAGTCGATGTGTTTGTCTTATTCGCCCAGGCAACGCCAGGTACTTCCCGCTAGTTTTTTTATAATTTGGAAAAATGTGGACCATGACACCGGCACATACTGGCCTTCGCCTTACAAAAGATTTCACGGAATCTTTTAAGCTCCACCGTGAAACAAACTACGCGCATTTTACGGATTAATGCGCCGGCGGCAATAACCAGGGCGGCCTGCCGGGTTTGACGGAAGCAGCCCACGCCCTAGCGCTGGGGCCGTGTCACAGCCCCAGAGGCGGGCCGTCGGCAAGGGGAGGGCTACGTCTTACAGGTGAGACAACGCTTGAGGCTGTGGAGGGACCCTCCGCTCGCGTAGAACGCCCACACGGCCATGACCAGCAGGACGATGTAGGCCACGGGCAGGCCGCACGTCATCAGCGGGCTCAGCAGGGTCTGTGGGGCAGTGCGGACGGTGAGGAGCGACCGCGCGAGCCAACAGAGAAGCAAGTTGCTAACTTGATCCACGGAAAAGGGTGGATCAAACATTGTGGAATCTAAAGCTGAGTGCTTGATAAGATGATAATGATGATGATAACAATGGTGATGACAATGTGCACTCAGAAACACCAATAGCACAAACTGGGACAACCACCTTGCAACATTGCCCTCAACTGGCAGACTATGCCCACATGGCTGGCCAGTGCAGCATTCACCTTGTGCCTCACAGGGATAGTTGCCAGTGCTAGTGGGGGTCCCCTGTCGCAGGGCACCTAAATGCTGCACTGGAGAGGAGGCGTGGGTATGAATATTAAATGTTAATGATAGACTATTGCAAGTCAATGGAATTCTTGAAGTGAGATGTTTGGCACTTTGAGCTGCTCAGATAAATATAAATTGTTATTCCGTTGCGATTATAATTATTTAGTACGTATGGTATTGGTGCCATCCTTATGGTGCAAGGCGTTGTTTCACGCAGTCTGGAGTAGTTTCATAGCAGGAGGCGATGTTGCTGTGTGCAATCCCAGTTGACTAATTTGCAGCTCGTTTTTCAAATTTGGACCATGACACTGGCACACGATGGCCCTACTCTTCTCGGATGATGTCACGGGATCTTAACGTCCACTGTGAAAGCAGACGGCATGTAGTAGTCGTACTATTTTTACGGTCAACAACACGCCGCAGGAATTAACCAGGGGTGGCCCCCCAGACTCGAACCGCGAACCGTCCGCAACAAGCGGCGAATGCGGTACCTCCCGCCAGGCCACGTCACCGTCCAGAATTCTTGGTGTTCCGTGCCGGCGTGACCGGCGTGACCGGCGTGACCCACCAGCCCAGAGACGAGGAAGTGAGAGCCCACGACAAGCGACACCGCCACCCAGCGCCGCTTCTCGCAGCCGTGGAAGAAGACCACTCCCCAGAAGGTGTGGAGCAGCACCAGCGCCATAGTCATGAAGGCTGGTGGGGGGAGGGTGGGGGAGAGATGAGCACAAGTGCGGTAGTTAACAGCTCGCAACCGGGCGCCACGTTGGCGAGATGTTAATTACCTCGCCTGATATACAGGAGGTCATGGGTTCGATGCCTACCCTGACGCCTCAACACTTGGAGTTTGCGTGTTCTCCCCGTGGTCGCGTGGACTTTTCACTGGGTCCTCCGGTCTTTCTCTCCACATTTAGAATGAACGTGCGTTTAGAGTATTCGGCTGCTGTAAATTTCCACGTGATAAGCCACTTCGTTGAGCTATCATTTATGGCCAGGTTGCTTCTGAAAAAGAGCCATATAGCTGAGTGGACCTTACCTTTGTCAAATAAAGATAGTCGTCATAGTAAGATGGACAGGAGGACACGAGGGGTTGTCCATTTAGCAACGTGCACACGCAAGTCAATCGTCGCCAACGTGTGCAGATGATCCTGCTGACGTCATTCGAAAGGAGCAGGCCATCGTGTGACGGCGTCTTAGTTCAAATTTTGCCAAGTCTGAAAAACTATGACGCGTACATTACTTCAATTGGGATGACGCACGGCAAGATCGCTCCCAACCAGCCGACCAGACTAGGGTGGTCTGCGACACGGGAGCATCTTCGTGGCAACCCTATGCTGTAAGAATGGCGCAAATGCCAAATATATTAAATTATTATTAATTATTACGTTCTCGTCAAAGTCTATAAAAGTAGGCGGTTAGGGAAGCTCTCTGCTCGCTACTAATGGATGTGTTCTCTTGTGTACTACCAACAAAGTAGAGGTGAAATTATTAACCACCCTCCCCTTTCGCGATTCAATTATTTCATGGTCACAATTGATATTTTCTTACCTTGTATTTAGATTATTTACGAAGTCGTGAATCTGTCACAACACGTGTACATGTACAGCCCAGTATCAACCGACTTCTGCTTCCAGGCCTTACCTCACCATTCTGGTCAGTGCAGGTTGAAGAACGGAAGGTGAGAGGGGGCGGGGGAGAAGGGCACAGGACCAATTTCGACATCACTCGTTATCAATTGCTGACGTTAGCCATAGGCTCGGAATTGAACGCAGATGGCCAGGTTAATAGAGCGGTGTGCTCACCACTGCGCCATTGATCCAACCCAATTTCTTCACCGTGACAAAACGATGGTGGCAGTGCCACAATTCGAAAAAATATAGTCGAGCCAAAAAATGGAACGGGAAAAAAATGGTAAACCGCTTGCCACGACTCACCGGACGACAGGAAGTAGTACTGCGAGTCACCGTGGATGCCGACCGTGCCGGGCCCCGCGGCCTGCGCTAGCGTGTTCACCACTGAGAAGGCCCCGCTCACGAGGCCATAGCCCAGCCCAGCGGCTGTGCGGAGCAGCCACAGGTGTCAACCGGGCCCAGTCGGAGTGGGGAGAATGGGGGCGGTTCAGTGGCGGACAGGGCACAAGTCGCGGCACACTCGGTGTTACAGCTCCCACTGCAATCTCGGATCAAGTTCAAGATCGTGCTCACCGACCTTAAGATCGTCCGTGGGACTAGCTCTTACCTACCTCTCGCCTCCCTCTACTCCCCTCCTGCCTCTCCCCCTCATCTCAGTCTACTCCCCTCCACTCACTCTTATACCTGTCCTCTTTCATCTCAGTCTACTCCCCTCCTGCCTCTCCCCCTCATCTTAGTCGACTTCCCTCCACACACTCCTATACCTCTACCCTCTCATCTCCCCCTACTCCCATCCACGCCTTTCCTGCCTCACCCGTCATCTCACTCTACTCCCCTCCACATTCCCACCTTGCTCCTCTCATCTCGCTCTACTCCTCTCCATTGCACTCGCTGGAAGGGATGGTGGCTGGTGAGACTAACGACAGAGTGGCAGCCACGGAGGCGAAGGTACACACGTTGGATCTTCCACTGCTGAAATGGAGCAATGAAATCGGCTCGTGTGCAGGTGCTATGGGTGGATTGTTACATCGCAGGATCGTCAGACATGGTGACAGCTTGGGGAGGACAATGATGATGATCATTGTGGATGATGATGATGATGATGATGATCGACCACAAACTTCTGTAGTGCTGTCCTCGTCAACACCATCACGACCATTGCATGGAATGCAGCATTACCTCACGTACCGTAGGCCATCTGGTGGGTGGTGATAGGAGGCTGCCCATCCATGTTAATCGATGCCAATCCCCGCTCAGCACGGCTGGTTTAAATACACAAGCACGTTTAAACAGTCAATATATACATATTCTTAAACAGTCACAGCTTTCTTTGCTCTTTATGCTTCAGGAAAGTGATTTTCAATTTGTTCCCAAAAATGTATGTTTTTAACTGTTAAGCGTTCCTCACAAAATCCCGTTATACGTGGCACGTCCACGGTATACCGGCCCACGTTATTTTGAGGACTCTCTGTACAACACAGCTGGGCTGCAATCCGATTACTTAAGAAATCGATTACTATACCGATTATCGGTTCGATTGTCCGACTAATCGGATAACACGGGAACAGTTGGAGGGAAAAGATGTCGCCTCTGTTTCAAACGTGTGCCGCTGGACGGGAGGTGATGGACGTGGCTTAGCGACGTCATCGGCCGCGTCACGCCGGACGTGGTTCGTAGGGGGTTTCTTGTCGTCAGGAGGCAAGATGCGGAGGCAGTTGCCGTGTTTGAAAAGGGCGCTGCGTAATCGACCACGAGAACATTTGTTGTCGAACTGCAACTTCCCACTGCTGCGTAAAGGCCTCCTTTATTTAATTTTAGTCCATTTCTCCTGTTCAGTAGTGAGCTCAGAACTCCGTGGTATTATCTTTCTGCTGCCATCTTCCTCCGCTTCCGTATGCACTTTACACATGTTGAACTTCTTTCGCACCGTACGTAGCCAACCGTGATAATCGGAGGTGCAGGGGATGAACGACAAACTAAACACAAAAAGCAGTTTTAAAGAAATGAGTCTTCAATCTAGATGATTTAAAAGTGCATAGCTCCAGTGGCTTCCTTCTCTCGTTTTCTATCGGTCTCCGCTCTGCGGGTAGTTTTGTCAACTTCTCGCCAGTTGTTCTCAGGATGAAGAGACAAAAACAAATAGTAGTCTATTGCAGGTTCTCGTCGATGAAACAACTTTAATCGACAAATCGTTGCGGCTCTACTGCGCTCGCGTGTACCTGAGCAGGCAGTAGTAGCCAAAGCGCGAGAGCTCCTGGAGGCACACGGAGAGGAAGACTCCGAGTGTGAGCAGTTCCTGCTGCAGCTGAACATTGGTGCGGTCTGTCACCACGGAGACCACGAACCACACCAGAGAGGACACCAGCAGCGACACCAGCCAAAAGAAAGACCTGGGCACGACAACAACAACAACAACGCAACAACAACCGGCATTCGCCACTAAGTGACATTCACGTCATCGCAGCACTTGTGCCAGGTTGGGTGCACATAGCCTAGTGCCCTGGGCACAAACACACACGTAACATTTAAAAACACACGAGTATGTGGTTGCGACACATTTCCACGTGATGAGAAGCCACTTCGTTGAGCTATCATTTGTGGCCAGGTTGCTTCTGAAAACGAGCTCTATAGCTCAGTGGGCCTTACCTGGTAAAATCAAAAATAGTTTAGTGTAATAGTTTGGTTTTACATGAACTGGTGACACCATGTGGCACGTGTTCAGCTGTGGCTGTTGGGATCCTAGAGTGTGGCATTGGGCTGTAGCATAGTGTGGTTGGCAGAGGTGCACCCGGAGTTGGGGGGGAGGGGTACAGTGAGGGAAAAAAGTATTTGATCCCCTGCTGATTTTGTACGTTGCCCACTGACAAAGAAATGATCAGTCTATAATTTTAATGGTATGTTTATTTGAACAGTGAGAGGGTGAATAACAACAAAAAAATCCAGAAAAACGCATGTCAAAAATGTTATAAATTGATTTGCATTTTAATGAGGGAAATAAGTATTTGACTCCTCTGCAAAACATGACTTAGTACCTGGTGGCAAAACCCTTGTTGGCAATCACAGAGGTCAGATGTTTCTTGTAGTTGGCCACCAGGTTTGCACACATCTCAGGAGGGATTTTATCACACTCCTCTTTGCAGATCTTCTCCAAGTCATTAAGGTTTCGAGGCTGACGTTTGGTAACTCGAACCTTCAGCTCCCTCCACAGATTTTCTATGGGATTAAAGTCTGGAGACTGGCTAGGTCACTCCAGGACCTTAATGTGCTTTTTCTTGAGCCACTCCTTTGTTGCCTTGGCCGTGTGTTTTGGGTCATTGTCATGCTGGAATACCCATCCACGACCCATTTTCAATGCCCTGGCTGAGGGAAGGAGGTTCTCACCCAAGATTTGACGGTACATGGCCCCGTCCATCGTCCCTTTGATGCGGTGAAGTTGTCCTGTCCCCTTAGCAGAAAAACACCCCCAAAGCATAATGTTTCTACGTCCATGTTTGACGGTGGGGATGGTGTTCTTGGGGTCATAGGCAGCATTCCTCCTCTTCCAAACACGGCGAGTTGAGTTGATGCCAAAAAGCTCCATTTTGGTCTCATCTGACCACAACACTTTCACCCAGTTGTCCTCTGAATCATTGAGATGTTCATTGGCAAACTTCAGACGGGCATGTATATGTGCTTTCTTGAGCAGGGGGACCTTGCGGGCACTGCAGGATTTCAGTCCTTCATGGCGTAGTGTGTTACCAATTGTTTTCTTGGTGACTATGGTTCCAGCTGCCTTGAGATCATTGACAAGATCCTCCCGTGTAGTTCTGGGCTGATTCCTCACCGTTCTCATGATCATTGCAACTCCACGAGGTGAGATCTTGCATGGAGCCCCAGGCCGAGGGAGACTGACAGTTCTTTTGTGTTTCTTCTATTTGCGAATAATCGCACCAACTGTTGTCACCTCACCAAGCTGCTTGGCAATGGTCTTGTAGCCCATTCCAGCCTTGTGAAGGTCTACAATCTTGTCCCTGACATCCTTGGAGAGCTCTTTGGTCTTGGCCATGGTGAAGAGTTTGGAATCTGATTGATTACTTCTGTGGACAGGTGTCTTTTATACAGGTAACAAGCTGAGATTAGCAGCACTCTCTTTAAGAGTGTGCTCCTAATCAGACTGTTACATGTATAAAGGACACCTGGGATCCAGAAATATTTCTGATTGAGAGGGGGTCAAATACTTATTTCCCTCATTAAAATGCAAATCAATTTATAACATTTTTGACATGCGTTTTTCTGGATTTTGTTGTTGTTATTCTGTCTCTCACTGTTCAAATAAACCTACGATTAAAATTATAGACGGATCATTTCTTTGTCAGTGGGCAAACGTACAAAATCAGCAGGGGATCAAATACTTTTTTCCCTCACTGTAAATGTTATCATTATTGATGTATATTTAATTTTAGATACATCTGACTTGGCAGAAAAAAAAACGATTTGGCCGCTCTGCAAATCGTTAGATGGGGTACGCCAGCAGTGGTTGGCACGGGCCGTGGTGCGGGGACTCCAACTTCCCCGCTCCCTCTCCGATGCCCGCCGCCTGGGGCTCCGGTGAAGTTGGCAAAATCTGCACCCTCGCCAGCGGCGCCACTCCGTACGGGGAAGTCGGCCACTGTTGAGGATGTTTGGGAACTCCTGACTGAGTAATTATTGGGCCCATAATAACGGGCTGTTGTCAACAGTGTCACGGGAAGTTATTGTAATACAATGCAGGGCCGTGTTGTCAACAGTGTCACTGGAAGTTATTGTAATACAATGCAGGGCCGTGTTGTTAACAGTGTCACTGGAAGTTATTGTAATACAATGCAGGACCGTGTTGTCAACAGTGTCACTGGAAGTTATTGTAATACAATGCAGGGCCGTGTTGTCAACAGTGTCACTGGAAGTTATTGTAATACAATGCAGGGCCGTGTTGTCAACAGTGTCACTGGAAGTTATTGTAATACAATGCAGGGCCGTGTTGTTAACAGTGTCACTGGAAGTTATTGTAATACAATGCAGGGCCGTGTTGTTAACAGTGTCACTGGAAGTTATTGTAATACAATGCAGGGCCGTGTTGTCAACAGTGTCACTGGAAGTTATTGTAATACAATGCAGGGCCGTGTTGTTAACAGTGTCACTGGAAGTTATTGTAATACAATGCAGGACCGTGTTGTCAACAGTGTCACGGGAAGTTATTGTAATACAATGCAGGGCCGTGTTGTCAACAGTGTCACGGGAAGTTATTGTAATACAATGCAGGGCCGTGTTGTTAACAGTGTCACGGGAAGTTATTGTAATACAATGCAGGGCCGTGTTGTTAACAGTGTCACTGGAAGTTATTGTAATACAATGCAGGGCCGTGTTGTCAACAGTGTCACTGGAAGTTATTGTAATACAATGCAGGACCGTGTTGTTAATAGTGGGTTTGATCATCTCCATGCCTAGTATAATCACCCAGGAATGTCTGTCCTTAACGCACGTGACGTTACTCCACATCGACCAGCCCCCCTCATTAATATTCATGAGCAGGTGACGTCCTCTAAATGGACACCCCCCCCCCAATATTACCGACTATGAGCCAAGAATGTCTGTGTGCAACACTCGTGACGTCACTCCACGTCGACCAGCCCCCCTCATGAATAATCATGAGCAGGTGACGTCACTCTACATCGAACAGCCCCCCTAATTAATGATCATTGTAAGGTGACGTCCTCCACATGGACCCGCCCTTCATTAATAATTAGCGGGTGACGTCACTCCACACGGGGGGGCGAGGCGCCTCCTTCCCCCTCCTCAGCATCAACTCACAACCCCCACGTCACAGGCAGAACCCTCACGTCACGTGATCCCCGTAACGCCGTTGTTGAGACATCGAAGTAAAAAGGACGTCGTGATGAACAAGGGATTATAACCTTTAAATTAAATAAGTCTGTGTCACAGCGCCCTTACAAATTGCACACGAATGGATGCAATTAATATCACGTCGCGGTCTGCTGTTCGCTTGCAAGTTTCAGATTTACTGCAATACACCCGTCCTTGGACGGGAAAAAGGCGAGTGTGTATATATGTGTGGGTGTATATATATCTGGACGGGAGTGTATAATTGTACGTATGCATGTTGGTGTTTGTCTAAATGTGAGGGGGAGCGGTGGCGCAGTGCTTAGCGCTACGCTGCGCTACAAAACCGGCGGCGCGCCGAGTTCGATTCCCGCTCACGGCCAACACCGGTGACGATTATTTGAACCGGTCCTGGGCCTCCTCTAGGTCGACTCAGCCTCAAATGAGTACCTGGTGCGGTGTATAAACATCGCCAGGGCCTTCATATGTGCTCGCGAACAGCACTTGCCCCAACAGTGTGTTACAGGCTACACGGGGTGTGTGTGTGTCTTTGTGTGTGTGTGTGATGGATGATCAAGTAACGAGGAGGCGTAGTTCTCACCCGGCGATGAGGATGATGACCCGGACCGGGTCGGCGGCCACCGTCAGCACGAAAAGCGCCAGCGCCGGCCCGAAGGCGATGAACGTGCAGCCGAAAAACACCCCCAGTGACATCCCTCGAGCCCTCACCAGCCCGAAGCCACAAACCCACAACGGCCACCTTGAGAGGGTCTAGCCTTACACAGTCTGTATTTATACTGCAGGAATCCGATGAGCTATGAAGCGTTTTGTTCACAGACGTCTAGAACCACCACCTGTCACCACAACCGGCGTCTCAGATGTCGTCGACCTTCACCACCACACGACCGCCTCTCTCGCCGCTGATGTGAAGATAAAATATTGAAGTCACTGGAGCCACGGGGAAATCACTCAAGCAGTGAGTCCACGCCACGGGGAGTGGTTTAATGTGTATCCTGCGTTTATAAATATCTGTGTTGACGATGCGTAAGTCCACTACGCTTTCAGATTAAACATTTGATAATTAAAAAATATATTGTAGGTTATAAATGTGCTGTAACGGCGCCAATGATGTCGAGAGACGCAGCAGCAGCAGCACACGGTCGCATTACATTTAAGCCCAACAAAACCTCTGGTAATAAGTTGTCGGTGTTACTCGCCCACGATTGCCATCGCGATAATAACAGCAAGAGTTGTAATTATATCCACGTTGCCGGTATTAATTGCCGTTGTTTTTAATTGTTATCGCCGCTCGAGTGATCGTCAAGACGAGAGAGTTCACTTCCGCGTGCGTTTCCACATCGCTGGCACTGGCGACGTCTGACGGTCGGCAGCTCGGAAGAGGCGGAGTGGAGCCGACTCCCTCTGGATCCGGAGTGCCGCTGTCCCTACAGAATCAGAAAATTTAAACTCGAGAAATGCGATGAGCTATGAAGCTCTTTTGCACAGATCACAATCAGACTATGTATTTATAGTGGAGGAATCCGATGTCCAGTAGGGGTGGGTCAGAAAGTTACAACAATTCGAATACTTATCCATAACCACAGATATTTAATCATGATTACAGTATTGTAATACAAACTAAACATCTTGGTTCTTTCGGTAAAGTGACGTAGAATGGAAATAAAGTAATAAAAATAAAACATAATCAGATAAAATTCTCACGACGTTTCGGCCACAACACAAGTAGCCTTCCTCAGGTGAAGAAACAGGACTGTCCAGAAGTCAGCGCTTGAGTGGACAGTCGTGTTTCTTCACCTGAGGAAGGCTACTTGTGTTGTGGCCGAAACGTCGTGAGAATTTTATTTTATTATGTTTTATTTTTATTATTTTATTTCCATTCTACGTGGTGACTTTACCGAAAGAACCAACAAGATGAATCCCTGCAGTCACGAAAGCTTTAAATAGAAACAAACTAAACATATTATTACACTATTATAAATGTTACATTTTTTGTATTCGCGGCATTTTTCCAGCGCCAGGCGGCCGCGAAGGCTCCGTGTCACAGCCCGCAGTAGTTTCACAGTGGGGGGCGACCTTGCTGCTGTGACATCCCAGCCGGGCGACGTTGCAGCCTCATTTGGCGACGCGGCTCGCACGCAGCGGCCGAATCGTTTCGAATGACGCCACGGGGTCCCGCGCCTCCGATTAGCAACGGTTGGCTACGTACGGTGCGAAAGAAGTCCAACCTACATAACACGCGCCGTCCGCTGTGCAGCAGACGGCGCGTGCTGCGCGGCTAGCACGCACACACCCGCGGTATTAACCAGGGTGGGCGCTCTAATCGAACCGCAACTAGCGGCGATCGCGCGCGACCACCGGGCCACGTCACCGTGTGGTGGTGGTCAAGGCTTTGCCATCGTCTCCGTTCGCCGTGGTCAATCCACTGCTGGACGAATGCCTCCCCGAGCCGCTGCCACCTGCGCTCGAGTTAAATTCATCGCTCCATCTCCACGCTTGGCGATTTTCTCGGAAGCGGCGTTCCGTTATTGATCTCGGCCATCAAGATCAGTGTGATGGTTGATTGTCTCTAACTTATCTATACCCAACGCGCTCCTGGCTCTCTCCCAGTGTCATTCTAAGCGTCTCTCCAAGCGGCGTTTGCGCACTTTTGCCATCAGCATTGCCCTATAATAAAACATATATAGTAACCCTGACGTTTCGGGCAGTGGCCCTAACCGAGAGCAGATATTATTATTTTTTAGTCTGAGATTATAAAACAACATTTTTCAGTGAACTATGTTTAGCAGAAAAGCACCTGGACATTGCCCTGTATTCATTCACTGGGGCTATGTCGTCAGCAGAGGGCAGTGCAGAATCAGCACAATTCCTCTGCACTCTGCTCCATCCACAGTGGACATGGAACGTTGGGTCAACGTTGGTCGATGGTTCCAACCACATGGGTGCCCAACGTTGGCGTGTTTACGGGGTACTTATCCCGCATTCACCAGTGTGGGGTCAACAAGCAGCCTGCACGACCACTAATTATAAGCTAAACAAGATATTAACTTTGAACCATTGAGTCCAGGCTCCAAGCGCGAGGGGCGATCCGGTTCGCATCTTACACGCAGCCCGACTGGTCGCCGATCAGCTGACTGTTGGGTACGGGTCGCGCTTAGTGGACAAAACGCGATTGAGATGTTACCGCCGCAGGCGAAGGCACGGGTATCCACCCTTTGTGTTACATTCCACGTTACTCTGGCGGGACAAGTGTAAATATAATCTTGATTTGAAGCTTTCGTAACTGCAGGAATCCATACTTTTGGGTTCTTTCGGTAAAGTCACGTAGGTAGAAAAATAAATAATAAATCACGTTTCAATCGCAACACAAGCAATCGTCATCAGGTGGAAATATAAAGATACAGCAGTTATAATAAAGATACAGCAGTTCTACTGCTGTATCTTTATTATTTATTTTTCTACCTACGTGACTTTACCGAAAGAACCAAAGAGTATGTAATTATAATCCCGTACAACAACAACAAATCCACCGTGTTGCTCCGGACACCAATGACTGCACTCACTCACAGCTCGTCGCTTTTGTCACGTGGCCACCTTCCATCTTCACCAGTTTGGGCAGTGGATTTTAAAACGTGTAAGCCGGCTCCATGCCTTCATTAGCGCCATGCAGTCCAAACAAGACATTTTACGCCGCGTCTATGCATGTTTGTACAATGGATACATCTTGTTCTGAACTTAATTTGGCCAGGTTCCACAGTGCTGTTAAGACGTTGCTTTGACTTGACGTGCGAGGAGTATTGCGTATTCATAGCAGGTAGGAAGGTCCAGCCCTCGTCTGTGTGGCAGGAAACCAGGCCGCACAGAGAAAACCCTCGTCAGCACCCTAGGTGAGTGAAGCTGGACCGTCCGCTAATCTTCCACGACCGCCTGAAAAAGGTCGCCGTGAAGACCACAACAAGGGTCGACCTGGTCCAGAAACTGGCGAGCTCCAGCGGGGGAGCTACGGACATCAACGCTGCTTCTCGTGTACTCTGTAGCCGAGTCGCGTGCACCAGTATGGGCCAGAAGTAGTCACCACTCGACTTGTTGATGTGCCACTGAACACTGCAATGCGGTGTGTCACTGGAACCCACAAGTCGACCCAACACCCTGGCTGCCCGTGCTGTCACAAATCTCTCCCCCCCCCCCCTCCGGGAAGTCCTGCGTATCGAGGAAATCAGTCGCCTTCTCATTCACCAGCACCTCAAGAACGTCCCTCGTCATCGCTTGAAGCCACGCCGAGTCCTTGTTGGACCCATGCGCTTAACCTTGAACAGCGCGCGAGTTCAACCCCTTGTGGCGAGCTGAATGGAGGTCAACAGAACTCAAAAACACCACCTGGTTGTGAAAGACCCAACGCAAAACATCCCTGGGTTTGATCTTCCAAGAAGCTCATGGTCCACCCTAAACCGAATTCCACTGCACACCACACCATGGCAGTAGCTGCGGATACCTGATGCACAAATGGAAAGTTAAAAACTTTCCAGTAGTAGTGTGCGCCTGTGGTCATCCAGAACAGTCCCTACAACGTATAATGACTCAATGCCCGATTCACAAATACGAAGGAGAGATCACAGCGACACACTGCGCTGCTCCTGACGGGTTTGTCTGGGCTTGACCACCTGAATGTGGAATGGCAGCTCTGCATCTACATCAGCAGGCTTACGAAAACAAAAACCGAGAAGCCACCAGTGCCTCTGATGCCGCCATACCTCGCCATTGCTTACATCCACTCAGCACCACAGTTGCTGTAGAGTCGACATCTGCCCTTTAATGTTTTCTGTTGAAGGATCGCAGCGTCTGGCCATAGGTCTTCTCCTTGGTTCCCAACCACTCCAGGTCCTGTCTGGGTGACCGCCCCCTCCTCCAGCCTGCACACATCTCCCACCCATTACAACATCCTCCTCTCTGTGACATCCCGAGAGAAGTTGCAGGCGCGTGGTTGTTCTTTTTGGGTGTTTGTTGAACAGATCAATCAATGCACGGGTGGAGAGTCTCCTGGCAAATGACCCCATGCCCTGTCACACTTTTCCTTTAACCCCTTTCTGTCTTTCCCCTTCAACTCTCCCGGCCAATCACCTGCCAAGCTTCCTCCCGCTCCAGTAGTAGGTGGTCTCAATGGCCTCGTCCCCCCATCCCTCACGCAGCGCGGGTGACAGAGATTATATCATCTGTGGGCTATGCACACGGTAACAGTCATGATATCATCTGTGAGCTATGCACACGTTGGCAGTGATGATATCATCTGTGAGCTATGCACACGGTGACAGTGATGATATCATCTGTGAGCTATGCACACGTTGGCAGTGATGATATCATCTGTGAGCTATGCACACGTTGGCAGTGATGATATCATCTGTGAGCTATGCACACGGTGACAGTGATGATATCATCTGTGAGCTATGCACACGTTGGCAGTGATGATATCATCTGTGAGCTATGCACACGGTGGCAGTGATGATATCATCTGTGGGCTATGCACACGGTGACAGTGATGATATCATCTGTGAGCTATGCACACGGTGGCAGTGATGATATCATCTGTGGGCTATGCACACGGTAACAGTGATAATATAATCTGTGAGCTATGCACACGGTGACAATGATGATATAATCTGTGAGCTATGCACACGGTGATAGTGATGATATAATCTGTGAGCTATGCACACGGTGGCAGTGATGATATCATCTGTGAGCTATGCACACGGTGGCAGTAATATCATCTGTGAGCTATGCACACGGTGGCAGTGATGATATCATCTGTGGGCTCTGCACACGGTGACAGTGATATCATCTGTGAGCTATGCACACGGTGGCAGTGATGATATAATCTGTGGGCTATGCACACGGTAACTGTGATAATATAATCTGTGAGCTATGCACACGGTGACAGTGATGATATAATCTGTGAGCTATGCACACGGTGACAGTGATAATATAATCTGTGAGCTATGCACACGGTGGCAGTGATGATATCATCTGTGAGCTATGCACACGGTGGCAGTAATATCATCTGTGAGCTATGCACACGGTGGCAGTGATGATATCATCTGTGGGCTATGCACACGGTGACAGTGATATCATCTGTGAGTTATGCACACGGTGACAGTGATGATACCATCTGTGAGCTATGCACACGGTGGCAGTGATATCATCTGTGAGCTATGCACACGGTAGCAGTGATGATATCATCTGTGGGCTATGCACACGGTGACAGTGATATCATCTGTGAGCTATGCACACGGTGACAGTGATGATACCATCTGTGAGCTATGCACACGGTGGCAGTGATATCATCTGTGAGCTATGCACACGGTGGCAGTAATGATATCATCTGTGGGCTATGCACACGGTAACAGTGATGATACCATCTGTAAGCTATGCACTCGGTGACAGTGATGATATCATCTGTGAGCTATGCACACGGTAACAGTGATGATATCATCTGTGAGCTATGCACACGGTGGCAGTGATATCATCTGTGAGATATGCACACGGTGGCAGTGATGATATCATCTGTGAGCTATGCACACGGTGGCAGTGATGATATCATCTGTGAGCTATGCACACGGTGGCAGTAATATCATCTGTGAGCTATGCACACGGTGACAGGGATATCATCTGTGAGCCATGCACACGGTGACAGTGATGATACCATCTGTGAGCTATGCACACGGTGGCAGTGATATCATCTGTGAGCTATGCACACGGTGGCAGTGATATCATCTGTGAGCTATGCACACGGTGGCAGTGATGATATCATCTCTGAGCTATGCACACGGTGTCAGTGATGATATCATCTGTGAGCTATGCACACGGTGGCAGTGATGATATCATCTGTGAGCTATGCACACGGTAACAATGATGATATCATCTGTGGGCTATGCACACGGTGACAGTGATATCATCTGTGAGCTATACACACGGTGACAGTGATGATACCATCTGTGAGCTATGCACACGGTGGCAGTGATATCATCTGTGAGCTATGCACACGGTGGCAGTAATGATATCATCTGTGGGCTATGCACACGGTAACAGTGATGATACCATCTGTAAGCTATGCACTCGGTGACAGTGATGATATCATCTGTGAGCTATGCACACGGTAACAGTGATGATATCATCTGTGAGCTATGCACACGGTAACAGTGATGATATCATCTGTGAGCTATGCACACGGTGGTAGTGATATCATCTGTGAGCTATGCACACGGTGGCAGTGATGATATCATCTGTGAGCTATGCACACGGTGGCAGTGATGATATCATCTGTGAGCTATGCACACGGTGGCAGTGATGATGTAATCTGTGAGCTATGCACACGGTGGCAGTGATGATATCATATGTGAGCTATGCACACGGTGGCAGTGATGATATCATCTGTGGGCTCATCCGATGACGAGTTCACAGTGATGACGTCGTACTGCTGCGCTATTTAACACCAGAAGCAGGTGGACGGCTTCACCATTCTGGCAAATCGCCCGATGATGCTGGTTGATGTAATTACCAGCGAAACGTCGCAGTACTAAAATTGTAAATGTTGTGGATTTACTCTCCAACACACCGGTGGGCTGAAGTAGTAAACTAATTGGCGCGTTGTTTACGTGACAAACCTTACTGTCTGTGTCCGATGGTGGAGGGTTACGACACATAGTAACGCGATCTTACCCAAAAACCTTTATTATGAATAATATTGGTTGTTAAAGCCTACCTCGTGTTAAACATGATGTAATCGGCGTGTGTGCCCAGAAACCCATTATGCAGGAGAGACGCAGGGATTCAGGCAGTTCACCATCAACCAGTGGAGTCACACGTGCGCCCGATGGACCACGTGGATTTTTATTTTATTAAAGACGCAGCAAGTTGGGGTAAAAGCGAGGACTTTGAATGCGATTCGAACAGCTCTGGTGCTCTATAGAGTTAGACAGCACTCCAACTGACGCGCTCGCTTGCAGTCATGCAAAACGCCATGCACGTGGGAATGCAGATGTCGAGCAGGGCAGCATGCCAACTAAAGTTGAGCCATTGAGGATGGGGTACAGATCACACATGCGCGTAAATCCACTCAAAGGGGTCGATGATGCTTAAGTAGCAGCTAATAAAAAAATATATATAAAGCGTCGATTTCATCGTCAACATTGAAGACAACTGCAGTACACTATATATGGTATGGCTGTACACACAGCGCGTGCTTCAGGCACACACAACAGGCGGCGAATGGGAGCAATCACGACACGTGGGCTAGTCGCTGCACTTCTCGCAGTATGAACACCAGCGCAGCAGCAGCGGCGGCGGCGGCAGTGGCGCACACCGATTACAACGCATTTGAGCCCAGACCAACATACATGTCACTCATCGGTACCAACTGAGGTGGCATCACTTTAGCAGTTACAATTTCTTTAGGTGGACAAGAACGGTGAATTATGCGATGCCAATTTGAAACGAGTGGGGTTATCAAGTAATTCATTCTCATGAGCCGTGCAATTCACTCGGTGTGGCCCAAGTTCTAGTGCCGTAGGTGGTATCAGTTTCTGCTCTGGCCCCTGGACTGTGGGCATGAATACAGCAGCCGTGCCGCTCCGACATAAGATGGGTGTGCCAATAGTGGACAGCATGGACCGTGGTGCAAGGGAAAAAATGAGGCCCCTGCTCGCTTAGTAAGCCGGCGCCTGGGACCCTCTGGCAAGTGAGCCCCGGTGCAGTTGCAGCGCCTGCGCCCTCGATAGCTACGCCTCTGGCACATGGCTCACAAGTTGATAACTGATCCTGGGATACTTGGGGCCCAGTGACTGAGACCTACGTGGAGTCCAACTGAAGTCGACACGGACATTTGCTTAAATAATTGAAAGCGCAGGTCGACTAACCCTGGAGTAAACACGTGACTTCTATACGAAACAGACAATTTGGGTTTCAACAACTTTTGCAACCGGATATTTATCTGGGTGTTCCAAGATATCGGTTAAAGGTGCAGCCCTGTCACTGCTCAACCACGTGACGGCGGGCCACTACGAAGGGTATCTGGCCTTCTGTTCACCCACCCTGGCCAGATGTATACAACACAACTTATCAGAGGATCATTGGAATCTGTCCCCATCACTTTCAATGTGCAGCGGCAGCTCGTAGTGATGAGCTGCTGTCAACTTGGCAATGGACACGTGACCAATGAGAGTGCCGACGAGTGCGATCTGCGTTGCCCCAATGCACTCAGCATGCTCCGCTTCACGCTGAACAAAGTTTGTTTTCGCTCATAAATCATAAACAAGTGTGTAGAAAAATAAATATTTGTGCTTCTCATGTACAAGTCCGGGCCGTGTGCTCAGCGCCCCCCCCCCCCACCACGTGGGGGGGTTCCCAGGTGCACCGAGCCAGCGTCACGCGCTCATCAGATCTCTGACAACTTCCTCGAGACCAGTGCTGCACCGCCGCAGCGGCACCTCGTCGTGCCGTGGCAAAGTCCAAAGTGTGCCGCGATGTTGTTTTCGCAATGACAGGAAAGAAGCTCGCTATTTGCAAGCTAGGACAGACGAACTCTCCCTCACCGTGCCGTTCAGTGACCGATCCAGGCCCCACCCGCATCTCCCGTCGTCCCCTCCCTATTGATCACGGCCCAGGACGGTAACCGACAGCCGTCAGCCCCCACCGCCGGCCCCTCTCAACTCCCTCGGTCGCGCGTGCGCATTTGGGCAAAAGAGTGAATTTGCGATCCGATGAGCCGCGAAATTCGAGTAAGTTGTAAAGTTCTGAAGTGTGCCGCGCAACGGGAAAGAACGAGGATCTCTGCTCAAGACAAAGCGCCTCGCGCCGTAGCCCGGGCCGCTCGCTTCGGCATCACCGGGGGCGACCCTCGACTCTCACGAAGGACGGCGCCGCCGTCGTCTCTCGGTCTCTCCGCTCGCCTCGGCCGAGGCCGCAAACGTCGCGACAGCGTCGGGCGGCACGGCGCCCGCGTCTCTCACGGCGCGTGCGGCGCGCTCGCCGTCTCGCCGGGCCCGCGGGGAAAGAACTTCCTCGGCGGCGCGTCGACGCCCCCTGGGCCCCGGGGCCCCGCGAGCCACCGCTCGGAGTGGGGTGGCAGGGTGCTGCAGGCCGCGTGCGGCGGGGGGGCGCCCCGCAGGTTGTTGAGAGCCGTCGGCGGCGGCGCGGCGTCGACGCGCGGAGGAGATCCCCCGCGCGGGGAGAGCGCGGGCGCAGCCGCGGCAGGCAGCCAGCACGAGTCCGAGTGGCCCAGCACCCTGCACTCGGCCGTGCACGTTCCTCCTGCACCGTCACGGGGAGGAGGGCGGTGAGGGGGGTGGTGGTGGTGGTGGCGGTGATGTGACGAGGCAGTGAAGGCGTGAGGTGGTGACGGGTTGGTGGTGATGTGGGGGAGGAAGGGGTGGGGTGAGGGGAGTCGGTGCTAAGGCGGTGGAAGTAGTGAGGAGGTCAGACGACAGTGAGGGGTGAGTGGGTGAGGTGGTGAGAAGGAGGGGTGGGTAGGGGTCGCCGTGCCCCGCCTTGACTCACCGAGTGCGCAGGGCGAGGCGCGACCCTCGGAGCCGCTGCCGCCCGTGTCGCTGTCCCCGCGCGCGCTGTCCCGCGAGCTCAGCTGGTCGGGCTCCGTGGGCAAACTCCTGCGACAAGAGGGCGCAACCCGCACGTTCGCGGTGGTGACGAGGGTGACGAGGGTTACGAGGGTGACGAGGGTGACGAGGGTGACGATGGCGATTTGCATCGCGCGACACAGAGAGTGGTGACGCACGCGCCTCTAACTCGGCGCTTTCGAGGCAAAGGGTTGTCGGATCACGCAGAGATTTGTGAAACTTCCAAACTCCGTTGGGCAAAAGAAGGCAGCTGAGCAAGTGGGTTCGTGAAGTCTACCGCGCGGATCTCCGCAGTGTTCGTCGCCTTGCGCGCTGCGGGTTTGCTCCTCGCTCACGGGGGTCTGCGCAAGCGGTGAGGCCGCGATAGCTTCAGCCCCGTACGCCTGACACACAAACCCCCCCCAACAACTACACCGTGTGTGCATACGTAGCAGGCGACGTTTCGGGCAATGGCCCTCTGTAGGTGGCGCTGTGCTATTGTTTGCTCCACTTGATTGGACGCTGAGGCCGAAACAAATAAGCGGGTGATCGATTCCCGTCAGAGGAATGTGGAATGTTCTCCACTTGCCCAAGAGTATTCAATGTTTGTTTCTACCCTGATTCTGTTTCTTAAACTTGAGCTGCTTGGGGCTGCGCTGAGCTTTTGGCCGAGTTTCATTTTGTCGATCGCCACCACCGCGGGTGCCGGGGGAGCTCACTCCGTCTGGCGCAAGGAGGCGCCGGTGAGAGGCTGAGGACGGGGAGGGAGGGAGGGAGGGATGGGGGAAGGTGGAGGAGGAGGTAGAGGGAGCAAGAGGGGAGAGGAGGAGGGATAGAGAGGGGGAAGGAAGAGGGAAGGAGTGAGGGGGATGGAGGGGGGAGGAGGAGGAGGGAGGGGTAGTGGGGGGAGTGGAGAAGCCGCTTCTCACCTGAAACTGCGCGTCCGCGCGTTCCCCTTGAAGCTGGGCCGCGGGTGGTACTCGCCCTGGTGCAGCAGGGCGAGCAGCTGCGACACCTGCGAGAAGAAGAGAGAGAGCGAGCGGGCGGGAGGGCAGCCCCGCCGAACCTTTAATAAACCAGCAGCGTCTCAGTCCGGTCACCAAATGATCGAAAGAAAACACCGCGTAAAAATTTAAACTGTTATGCACCTTGGCTAAATTCCGGCATTGAGAATCAAAAATATCGGTCTTGCTGCCATGCCATGAACATTACTCCCAAAGAGCTGCCCTGCAGTGTGATGTCTGCTTCTGCCGGCAGTTCTCAAACACGAAAGGTTGCGCTCTGATCATTTTCCCCATACCACGTGCGTCTCACCTCCAGGGGCCTCGGGGCCGCGTCGCCAACGCTCAAGTACTCGGGATGAGTCGTGGGCTCGAGAGGAGCCGCGTCCGCACTGCTGCTGCTGCTGCAGCTGCTGCTGAGACCGAGGCTGCCCAGGGAGCCGCGCCCCGCGCCGCGCTCCGCGTGCAGCGCGCGGGAGCTCGAGTCGGACGCCCCCTCCCCCCCCTCCTCCTCCTCCTGCTCTTCGCCCCCGCGCTCCTCGTCGCGCCTGAACGCGCTCTTCACCCCGCGCCTCGCGGCCGCCACCGCCAGAGCGAGGACGAGCAGCGCGCACGCCGTGCCGAGCGAGCCCAGCGCGGCGCTGTACGCGACTCCGTGCGCCACTCCAGCCGCCCCGCCGCTGCGTCGCTCCATCTCCTCCTGCAGCATCACGGTGACGGAGACGGTGGCGGTGGTGGAGAGGCGCGGCTCCCCCGAGTCGCTCGCCACCACCACGAGCGCGTGCACGCCCAGCGCGGAGCGCGGCACCGTGACGCGGGAGCGCAGCTGCCCCGTGCCGGGGCTCAGCTCGAAGATGGCGAGCGGACGCTCGCCCGCCACGGACAGCTCCACGGCGCCGTTGAGGCCCTCGTCGGGGTCGCGCGCGCGCACCGTGCCCACCAGGTGCCCGGCGGGCGCGCCCACGGGCACCGCGAGCGAGCGCGTCGCGCTGACGTCGATGGCGGGCGCGTTGTCGTTCGCGTCGAGCACGCGCACGTGCACGGTGACGTCGCTGGCGAGGGGCGGCGTCCCCGAGTCCTGGGCGCGAACGCGGAACGTGAGCAGCGCGTGCTCCTCGCGGTCCAGCGGGCGCAGCGTGTGCACGGCGCCCGTGGCGGGATCCACGCGCAGCAGCTCCGTCACGTCGTCTTCGTGCTCGTCACCGTGCGCGCTCAGCAGCGCGTAGGAGACGCGCGCGTTGTGCGCCGCGTCCGCGTCCCTCGCCGTCACGCTCGCCACGAGGGTGCCTGGCCGCGCATTCTCGGGCACCGAGGCGTCGTGCACGGCGCGCGGGAACGCGGGCGCGTTGTCGTTCTCGTCGGCGATGCGCAGCGTGAAGGAGCGCGAGGACGATCGCGGCGGGGAGCCGTGGTCGCGTGCCACCAGCGTCACGTTGATCTCTTCCGTGCGCTCGCGGTCCAGCGCGCGGTCCGTGAGCAGCACGAAGGCGGCGCCGCCCCCGCCGCCGCCTCCCCCCGCCGCCGCCGCCGATGCCGAGGCCGCGGCTCCGTCCGCGTCCCGCGCCACGAGCGCCAGGAATCCGCGCGCGGCGGCACCGCCGCCGCCTTCTTCCTCCAGCAGCTCCACGCTCACCCGGCCGTCGTCCCCCGCGTCCGCGTCCCACGCCGTCACGTGCGCCACGAGGGTGCCGCGCGGCGCCGCCTCGGACACGCGCTCGGCGAACACGCGCACGCGCAGCGCGGGCTCGTTGTCGTTCACGTCGATGACGCGCACGGTGAGGAGGCTGTGCGAGGGCACGGCGTGCGGGCCCAGGTCGCTGGCCTGCACGTGCACGGCGTGCGAGGCCCGCTGCTCGCGGTCCAGCGCGCGGACCAGGGTCACCAGCCCCGTGGAGGCGTCCACGCGGAACAGGCGGCGCGCGTCGGGACCCGCGTGCGCGCTCAGCGAGTAGACCACCTCGCCGCTGGGGCCCTCGTCCGGGTCGGAGGCAGAGAGGCGCGCCACGGTGGAGCCCGCGGCCGCGTCCTCGCGCACCTCGGCCTCCCAGGCGGCGCGCGCCCACGCGGGGCTGTTGTCGTTGGTGTCCAGGACGCTGACGCGGACGAGCGCCGCGCCCGCGCGCGGGGTCGCGCCCGCGTCGCGCGCCGTCAGCCGCAGCTCGTGCAGGGCGCGCTCCTCTCGGTCCAGCGCGCGCGTCACCACCAGCTCGGCCAGGGCCCCTTGGCCGGGCCCCGCGGCCCCCACCTCCAGCCTGAAGTGCTGCGAGGGCGCGAGGGAGTACTCGATGCGCGCGTTCTCCCCCACGTCCGGGTCGCGCGCCGCGTCAAGCGGGAAGCGCGTGCCCACGGGGGCGCTCTCGCTCACCTGGTCGAGAGGAGCAACGCGTCACCGTGAGACACGCGCGCACCGTCATTCACCTATTGCACACTAACGCACCTTCATCATCAACATTATCATCATCATGAACCTTCGCGCTCACCTCCACGGGGATGACGGCGCGCGGGAACTCCGGCGCGTGGTCGTTCACGTCGAGCACCTCCACGTGCACGCGCACGAGGCGGAACGCGGCGCGTGGCTCCTCGAACTCGGCCGCCACGTCCATGGAGATGACGCAGGCGGCGGCGGAAGCGGCGGCGACGGGGCCCGGGTCGGCGCGCGGGCACAGCGCCTCGCGGTCGAGCGCGCGGGCCACGCTCAGCGTGCCGTCACGTCCGTGCACGCCGAGCGGGAGGTCCGCGCCGCGCGCGTCCATCACCACAAAGCGCGACGGGGCGACCGCCGTTGCCGCTGCCCCCGCGTCGCTGCCCTCCTCGTCGCCGTCGCGGTCATCCCCGTCGCGTTGCTGCTCGAGGAAGAGGTCGGCGAGGCGCGCGATGACCGTGCCCGGGGGCTCCTCCTCGCGCACGCTGAACCGGAGCGCCCCGCGCTGCGCGGCGCTTGGCACCGGCCGCAGTAGCAACGGCGGCAGCAGCAGCAGCAGCGAGAGGAGCGGCGACATCGTGACTCGATTAATCCCCCACCCCACCTGAGAATAGCGAGCGGGTAAATACGCGCGGCACACGGGGGCTTCTGTCGCGCTAAAAGGGAACGCCCATCGATTGTGTGGCCCCTCGATGCGGAGTGGCGCTGTGGCCGCGTAAGCGTGGAAGTGCACGGATCGTGCTGGGCTCAGTGGCCGTGCGCGCTCAAGTGCGACGCTCGTGTGCGGCGACGTGGCCGTGCGCTGCAGGAGGATGAGGCTGTGGGGTCGCTGCTCGCGTCTCCCTCCCCCCTCTCACTCGCTCTGTGCGTCCCACTCTGAGCGCGGAACAAAAGTGAGTGAGGCGGCGCGCGCGGCTCCGCGGGTTGTATTGGGGACGCGTGCGCAGCCGTCCTCCCCTCCCCTGCCACCCCCAGCCTCGACCCCCTCCACCCCAGCCCTTGCCGTGACCAATGATGAGAGGCAGAGCAGCCAACCCCCCACCACCCCGACACCGCCATCACACGCGCATACATTCCTAATCACCGCCGGCCCTCCCAACACGTCCCGCATCACCGACTCATTACTATGCAATTTGCTTTATCTGCCGGTGGTGCGGGTCGACCCCTAGATGCCGCGCGTGCTGAGGCTCGTCGCCCGAGCTCGCGTGCGCCGCTCGCGTGAGTTCACGCGTCGCCTCTCGTAGCGGAGGCGTTGTCAGCAGCAGCAGCAGCAGCTCTGAGTGCGCTCGATGCGTCTCAGGCAAAGCCTCGCTGAGATCATTAAACACGCGGTGATTATTGTTATTGGGTCAATTCAACACGTGTCGGCTTTCGCGTCTAATAAATATTCAGATGTTTTTTTTGTTTCGGAGTCAGATCGTCGCGTGGGTAAAATGTGTGTCCTACACCCCTCCTCCACCCGACACAGCCATTTAATAAAGTTATCACGTAGTGAACAAACGTGGCCTATTTATTACTTCGTCAACAGCACCGCTGGTGATGTTGGAGTGAGATCCGTTCATGTTGAATAATTGGGAGTGGACATTTCGCTGGTAAAACCAGCATCATCAGGCAGTTGCTGGAATTGTGAAAGTGTCCCCCAGTCTTGGACTTTAAGTCGGTTGTGCGATGTCATCAATTATTTGGTGGTGCACAATTACAGATAACAACAACAACAACAAACTCAACACATTCGTCCATAACACTGTCGCCTTAAACATAACAGTATGGAATAGGCGACGTTTTGAAACCAGAGATGTACTTCAGAGTGTATAGGAGTAGGAGGCTGCACTCGCTCTAGCTATGCTTGCTCAGATAGACTGTGATCGCTAGATATTATTGAATGCAGAGCAGTGAGTTATCCTGGTATCGTGTTGTCCTCAGCAGGTTAAACAAAATCAACTTTATTGATGATCTAGCACTCACCGATTAAATACAGAAAATCTCTCATCGGCGGTCAGCACGCCTCCTTATTACTTTTCTATCGCTGCTACCATAGCTCGTGTTCCCGTGAACGTTGCGTGTTGGTTCCTCCACCCGCGTTGAGGTCTACCAGACTGTTTCGTCTACACTGTGATCACCCACCACACTGCAGGACACAACAACACACTCACCCACTTACTCGCTCACCTACTCATTCACCCACTCACCCACCCAGTCGCTAACATCACTTGCCCCTACAGTCTGTTAAGGCTATATGGGGGATCTTTTTGTGTATGTGTGTATGTGTGTGTGTATGTGTGTGTGTGAGTGTATGTGTGTGTATGTGTGTGTATGTGTGAATGTGTATGTGTGTGTGAATGTGTGTGTATGTGTGTTTAAGTCGTATCTTTTCATCGGTTGCGTAACGCTGTGTGGAAGCTACCTGGTCTGTCGCTCTGCACTAAGCTTCAGGTCTTCTCGGCCACGGTCATTCCCTCCCTTCTCTACGCTTGCGAAACGTGGACCCCCCTAATGGAACATCTTCGCCGGTTAGAAACATTTAGGCTGGCCTGCCTACGATCCATCCTGGGTTTAACCAGACTGGATTGTGTGAGGAGCTCACAAATCCTTGAAAGATCTGGGCAAGGTCCCATCGGTGAGCTCCTCCGGCGGGCAAGGCTGCGATGGCTGGGTCATGTAGCCCGCATGCCCAGCCACCGCATGCCGAAACAGCTTTTGTTCGGCCGGATCGAGGGGGCTAAACGGGCGCGGCACGGGCTAGAGAAGAGATGGAGTGATGTGGTACAGGAGGACGTGGAGCTTAGTGGACTTGCCGATGACTGGTACCAGCGGTGTCAAGATCGGCCTCTGTGGAGGAGGCTCGTGAAGGATGCTACTGGGCAGTTGGAGGCAGTCGCCCTCCAACAACAACGGAGGGCGGAGGAGCGACGCTCAGAACAACGAGCGGAGCGCCGGGTGGCTAAAGCACAGCAGGTTGGCACAGTAGAGGGCACAGGTGGTGCATCAGCCATTCATCTCAGTCAGTCGACCCGTGGCACCTGGGTCTGCCCCGTGACCTCCTGCCAGCGGGCGTTCGACACTTCACGTGGCCTCAGGTTGCACATAGCCTGGCACAAGCGTCGTGGTGACGTCACCGCCACTTAGTGGCGAATGGCGGTTGTTGCTGTTGTTGTGAATGTGTGTATATGAGTTTGTGAATGTGTGTGTGTGAATGTGTGTGTATGTGTGTGTGTATGTGTGTATATGTGTGTGTATATGTGTGTGGATGTGTATGTGTGTGAATGTGTGAGTGTGTGAATGTGTGTGTGTGAATGTGTGTGTATGTGTGTGTATGAGTTTGTGAATGTGTGTGTGTGTGTGAATGTGTGTGTGAATGTGTGTGTGTGAGTGTCTCGCGTGAAATTTGCACAAAGCCACCCCCGCCCCACCGCCACCCTCTCGGCTCGTGAATAGCGCCGGGGGGGTGGGGGTGAGGAGTGGGGGGTGGAGGAGTGGGGGGTGGAGGAGTGGGGGGGTGGAAGAGTGGGGGGGTGGAGGAGGGTGAGGAGTGGGGGGTGAGGAGTGGGGGGTGGAGGAGGGGGCCTCCCCATTGTGCCTCGGGCACAATGGGGAGGCCGCGTCGCGCTCGGGGCCCCATTCCACTCCGCTTAGCGGCGCGGCGCGGCGCGGAGTGGAGTGGTAATTGTGTGGTGATTGTGTGGTGATTGTGTGGTGATTGTGTGGTGATCTAAACGGTGCCGTCAATGGTGAGCTGGGAAAGAGGGGGGGGGGGGAGATTGCCCCCCCCCCACCCCGGGGCTCGCCAGGCCCCATTCAGTGACACGGACAGGCCGCGTAAATCACAATAAGAATAACGATCATTATAGCGATCATTATAATAACCATCATTATAACGATCATTATAATAACCATCATTATAACGATCATTATAATAATAACCATCATTATTATAACCATCATTATAATAACCATCATTATAACCATCATTATAATAACCATCATTATAACCATCATTATAATAACCATAATTACAACCATCACAATAATAACGATCATTATAATAACCATCATTATAACGATCATTATAATAACCATCATTATAACCATCATTATAATAATAACCATTATAACGATCATTATAATAATAACCATCATTATAATAACCATCATTATAACCATCATTATAGCCATCATTATAACCATCATTATAATAACCATCATTATAATAATAACCATCATTATAATAACCATAATTACAACCATCATTATAACCATCATTATAATAACCATCATTATAATAACCATAATTACAACCATCATTATAATAACCATCATTATAATAACCATAATTACAACCATCATTATAATAACAATCATTAAAATAACCATCATTATAACCATCATTATAATAATAACCATCATTATAACGATCATTATAATAACCATCATTATAACCATCATTATAATAATAACGATCATTATAATAACGATCATTATAATAACCATCATTATAATAATAACCATCATTATAATAATAACGATCATTATAATAACCATCATTATAATAATAACCATAATTATAACGATCATTATAATAACGATCATTATAATAACCATCATTATAACCATCATTATTATAATAACGATAATTATAACCATCATTCTAATAATAACGATCATTATAACCATCATTATAATAATAACGATCATTATAACCATCATGATAGTAATAACGATCATTATATCCATCATTATACTAATAACGATCATGATAAGAATAATAACAACGATGATAATAATAATGAGGCCCGCGCCGAGCTCTGCTGCGCAGGGAGGCGCATCCATGGGGCCACGGGGGAGAGAGAGGGGGGAGAGAGCGGCGGGGAGAGAGCGGCAGGGAGAGAGAGAGGGGGGGGAGAGCGGCAGGGAGAGAGCGGCAGGGAGAGAGCGGGGGGGAGAACGGCAGGGAGAGAGAGGGGGGGGAGAGCGGCAGGGAGAGAGCGGCGGGGAGAGAGCGGCGGGGAGAGAGCGGCGGGGAGAGAGCGGCGGGGAGAGAGCGGCAGGGAGAGAGCGGGGGGGAGAACGGCAGGGAGAGAGAGAGGGGGGGGAGGGCATTCACTCGCAACCCGCGTGATTTACGGCATGGGCTGGCACGAACCGGTGGTGTTAGCGAGCACCTATTATGGCTGGAAGAGTAGAACTACACGCTGCTGTTGTTTTACAACGCAAGGGGCACTGAGCGACATAGCTCTTTTTTCAGAAGTGACCTGCCCACAAATGATAGTTCAACGAAGTGGCTTATCAAGTGGAAATTTACGAAGTGGCTCATCAAGTGGGAATTTACGAAGTGGCTTATCAAGTGGGAATTTACGAAGTGGCTTATCAAGGGGGAATTTACGAAGTGGCTTATCAAGTGGAAATTTATAGCAGCTAAACACTCTAAACGCGTGATGTTGATTCTCTATGTGCAGTGAAAACCCGGAGGACCCGGAGAAAAATCCACGCGACCGCGGGTAGAGAGAGAGAACTTGCAAACTCCAAATACGCTGCAGGTGTCAGGGTATGGATCGAACCCACGACCTCCTGTATACCAAGCGAGGGAGTAAACATCGCGGCACCGCGGCACCCCCTCTCACGTCGCATCGTGAATATTGGGGGGGGGGGGTCACCATTCACCCTCGCTCCTGTCCCCTCCAGCCCCCTCCGCCGCACAGAGGGTGAAGATTAGGGGTTCACTATTCACCCCCCCCCCCCCAACACACACAATATTCACCACCACCTTCCGTACGTACCCCCCTCTCGCGATTTAAGACATTTGCTAGATTCAGGGGTAACGATGAGATGTTTAAAAAACTATTTTTAATTAAAACATGTATTTCTTTCTTGGTCCACTGCGGCGAATGCGTGAGCTGCATGCGTCACGTGGTCCCACCAGTGGGTGCGAGCACGTGGCCTCGGGCACTCTGCCGGTCTCTCCAATTAATCCAATTAATCCAGTGAGGAGCCAGGCAAAGGACTCGACGCGAATCGACAAATAATGGCAGTGGTAAAATACATGAAAAAAAAACCCCATGTGTCCTGAGTTTTGGGCCACCCTGTATAGGCGACGTTTCAGGCAATGGCCATTCTCTATAGCACTATCGTATTATACGACGCACCCCTTTAACTTTTGCTTTAAAAATAAATCATAATAATAATCCTGGGAGAGTGCGACAGTAATTCTATACTCAACAATGGAATCAAATGTTGGAAAAAGGCTTCAGGCAACATTTTATAT